TTAGCCTACAGTTGGGCAAAATCATCTAACACAAAAGCTATTTTATAATGAAGTGATAAATATCTCATGTAACAGTACTGAATACTGTACTGAAAGTGAGAAACAGGACGGTTGTAGAGGTACTCAAGGTACGGTTTCTAATGAATGTGTATTGCTTTTGCGGAATCGTAAAGTAAAAAAATCTTAAGTTGAACCATCGTAAGTCAGCGACTGTCTATGGTAGTTACTAACTTGGAGGCAGAATTGTATCCTGCCTATGAAGAGTATAACAAATAACATCTCCATACGTTTACAATTTATCTGAAAATCCCAAGGATGGGAAAAAGCTGTGCTCAGAATCTTGCAGATTGTGCAACAGTTCCCCATAGTTCCCTTGGGGCTGATGCCAACTGAGGCACATCCAGGAGGCCAAGTCAGCTTTTGGGAGCATGCTGAGAGGGGTGACCACTGCTCTGAAGTGCTATCCTCCACTTTTGCAGGGCTGCCGAGCTCACCCTTCATTACAGCTCCAGCATCACCCAGTCTAGGGCCTCCCTGAGCCCAGGCCCTGTGCAGGTAGATCACTCCCCCTCCTTGTATGTGCCTGGCTCAGAGCCCTTTTCACCCTCTACTGTGTTTCTTTCCGTTAGGGCATATCTCATCTTTACAGCAATGAGCAAATAAGAGATTCAGAATTGGGGGAAATGCTTTGAATTACCCAATTACCTTTAGCCTAAAATGCTCAATATTTTTTTTTCCAAAAATAAACAAAGAAAATTATTTTTATTCTAAACTAAAGGTGTTCTCGTCCCTTCTGTGATCTTTTCCTAAACTCCCAACATGTCTTACACACTTTGCTCGCTACTGGGCATATAAAACTAAGACGAAGTCCCTGATTCTAGAAAGCCTTAGTTGAGGGAACCGGAAACAAACCACAGTCAACAGCACGAGGGATCCTGGGTTGGGAGGCTGGGTGACGTGCCAGGTGCTTCAGGGGCCAGGCTTCATTACATAGTCTGAAGCATCATGAATTTCCAAAACAGTGAACACACACACCCCTAATTGACTTAAGTACAAAAAACATACTCTATGTCCAAATGAAAATGACCTTCGGGTCATGGACCTAATCTGGATATTTATGCCACCTCTCCCCTCTTTTGGCCCAGACAACTGAAATATATACACTCTCAGGGGAGAGGTTGACAGATGAGTTGGCACTAGATGGTGAGAAGCTGTGGGAAGAATACTAGATCTAGAATTGGAGATGAAGTTCTCACTTGGGTTCTGTCATTAAATCTCAGTAGGGACTCTGGAGGTCACTCCACCTCTCACTATTTCCTCATCTACAAAGTGGAAATATAAGCAAGCTTAATTCTCTACCATAAGGCTGTGGTTACTGTTGGTTGAAGCACTGAAAATAGAAAATGTGCTGATCGAGTACAAACTTGGAGAGAAACAGTAAATAGACATGGGCTGAACTTTGATATAAATCGTTCACATTAAATCTATGTTATATTGCTCAAGAGTTAACAGGCTCAAAGGAGAGGCTGATACCAATGTCAACCAAGGGAAGACAGATGCTCAAATTCCATACTGAGTTGCCAAAGGATAAAATCAATAAAACATGCAGACATGCCACAATTCTTCCACACAGTTTGCTTTAGCACTGTTGAATACACATAGAATCTGAAAAGTCCAATGCAAACAGAACAGAATTCTTGAGATCTAACACTAAAAAACAATTGCCTGACAGTTGACCCTCTACGAAAACTTATGTAGGGGGGCAAATTACTCTGGGAAGACAAGTGTAAGAAGTAATAGGAGAAAGTTAAGGGAAATTACCACTACATACTGCAGAGATTTCCTGTAAGGCAAACATTGCCCAGAAAAAAAGCTCCACTGGAAAAAAAAATGTTGAAAGCTGATTATAAAGCTAGCATCTTGCTCCCAGGTCAGTAAGTTGAACAACCAAAAAAAATGAAAAAGACCTCGCCCAATCCCAGGGTTAATGGAGTCCAGAGGAAGAGTTGTACATTAATGTGACACCTGAAATCAGAGAGCAGCACCATTCAAGGAGCATGATGTCTTCATCTCAGGACCAAATACTCTAGGCCTTGAGCCAGAGAAACTCAGTAGAAAAATGGGGAGCACTTTAAGCAAGTGGACCCAGGACACACCAGCAAACTACATGTGTGGCATTCTCTAAGCTGTAACGATCATTTGCATCTGCCACTGGGGGTAGATGTAAGAATCTCTGACAGCCCTCTGTTAGAAAGTTGGGTTTCTTCTTCTTTGCAAATCATAGGGAAACAGAACATTTGTAGCTGTTACACCTCTTGCAGCTGAAAGCAATAAACAATGAACACATTCAGCAAACTGCCAGATGCACCTGCATTTAGGAACTGCCTTAACACTGGGTTTCTATTGACAGGGCAAGGGGAGGAGGGTGCCTATGATTTTCCTAAGGTTCCCACTCTACCCTGGCTGAGCAGACCACAGTAATTTTAACAATGGCATAGGAAATTAGAACGAACTCATCCAGGACAATAAGTCAGGATTTCCAGTTAAATCAGTGCTCTCACATAAGGTATATGAACACATACAAACACCACTAGAAAAGAAGCTGAGGGCACATGGCGCCAACAGCTAGATATTTTGCACAGGATTAGAATGGAACAGTGTCTTTGAGTTTTTAGATAATTCTAGATGTCAGGATATGGTTGTGTTCAGGGCCCACTCTTAAAGATGTTGTTAAAACAAAAGCAAAAATAACTACCTAGAGAGAACATCCACATTCTAAAAGACAAAACATTTAATCTGAGGAAGGGTTGATTTAACTAATGAAACTCAAGAACACAAGAACAACAAAAATAATTTCTTTGAATATATTCAACTAGAACGGCAACACATATTCCTACATAAAACACAATTGTCCCACTACTCCAGAGAAATTCAATAAATAATTTTACAGTGAAAGGGCCTGGATCAAAACTGGAAGTGAACACCTGGCCCCTGATGAACACAAGTCACAGATCCCTATGCAAGGACCAAGTTCAAGTCATCCAAGAATGTCGGCACCACCACGAGCTTGGCCTGTAGATGTCTTTCCCAGAGGGGACCGGATACAGGTTCCATGCTGCTTTACAGAAGAGTTCAATCTGGTAAGCCTCGGTGGTGGTGCAGTGGTCAAAGCCAAGGTTCCTTCATGCTGCCTTTGTCTTCTTCAAATGGACTAGCCTCAGCACTGTGGTCTGGTTCCAGAAGGCAAGCTCTTCAGAGGGGCCCTCACCCATGTTTGGGCAAGTCTGCCATGCCTGTCATGCAGGGAAGAGCTCAGGGGGGCTCTCTCCATAGCAGTACTTTGCTATGGGATCCCTGTAGGTGTTCTCATGCTGCACGCTCTGTTGGCAAAAGGAAGAGAAGAGCATGGTAAGACAGAGCAGAGTGTCACACATCTCCCTCCCAGAAGACTGAGAGCAGGAGCAGAACTGCTGGCTGACACTCCTGCAGGAGGCTGGCCACGTCCACCTCCAAATGTCACTAAAGTCTCCAAGGTACTTTCTGGAACAAAGAATTCTCAGCACAGAATGCAAATGAAGAGCATGAAAATACATAACATCATTGCATGACAGTTTCTTTTCAGGTACACAAATGAGTTTTTTTAACAACCTAGCTGTGACCTAAGCGACTTAAGACAACTACTTTTTTTACAATTGTTTGAAATAGGATAAGATCCAACGGGTGTTGTATACCTGGTCCTGTGCTTCAAAGAAATTAGTTCCTAGTAAGGAACCCTGAAGAGACACTAAGGTGACACACTTCAAACTGCTTTCATAAAGTTTATGTACCTAAAAGTTTGGCACACAAGCCAAATCCTACAATACCAGGAAAGCCTCATTTGGCTAAGCAAATTGGAAGTATGGTTTACTGCAATCATTCCCAGTGGCTAATTTTTCATCAATTTGTTTTCCTACAAGCAATGTGAGTTTTTGGCTAG